AGCACGCAAGAGCACTCCTGGATTTAGCAGAAGAATTGCTTTCGCAGCAGGCATCCAGAATTGCCAACGACATTTTTTATTGCCTCGGCGTTTTCACTCACTCCATAAATGCTACTCATTGTCGTCTCTGTATTATGATAAAAATAAGAAGAAACTTTTTTTAGAACTAAAATTTTTTTCGCGTAACGCATATTAGGTTAATTAGTGAATCACTAGTTCCACTGAATTCGACGCGCTAACTCTTAATAGATATTTGAGAAAGTGGACACTATTCATTTAATAAATTGACTGTTTTAAATTTACAGGATCAAATTATCATTGACAAAATTAAAATTAACTTTTCGTCACTCGTTCCAAATGAACTCTTGCCTACTCCGCATATCCTCATTTATAAAATCATCTGAAACCAGGAAAGAACTATAGTTAACGAGTAAAGTGAACATAGGTCTCGACAGACTTTCCAAACTTTCCCAGGTGCCAGTCCACTACCCGCTAAATTTGATCGAGCTGCTTAAATTATCGAGGAGTGTACGAATGTTTTTGAAAAGTCACGCAAAAATTTTCACTATGTAAAAGTGTGGCAGCATTAAACGGTTAACTGTGAATTGCCTGGTCAGCAAATGGTCATTCTTCATTTTAATGTCGGTGGACAGCAATTTTCCACAACCACCAGTACACTGCTCCAGGAAAAAAATTCTTTGTTCGCTCAGGTACGTACTGCTTTCTCTGTTTCTAAATGTCAAATTTTGCTGGATACTAAATTTACTTGCGCTTGGGTCAAGGGCTATTGAATAATCAAGACTTATTATGCGTTTTTGCTGTGCAGCGCTATAGCAGCTACAGCTAGCTACAGCCAGCAAAAACGCATATTGTCGAGAGACTGTCTATGTGTGTACGTGTTCGGAAGCGAGCGCATTTTGTCACCCACTTTCATCTTAGCAACCAGGAAAGCTGGGAGGCTGAAACTTTGGATATATACGTTCCTACCCCGTTTCAAGATCTTCCCCAACACGCGCCTAGACCCTGCGTACGAACCCCCGAAAAAAATATGCAAATTCCATTGGCGGGGAAAGATTTTGCGAACCAGGCAAGGTACAAAGCTGAAAATTTGCAGAAATATTCTCTGCGCATATGCAAGCTAAAGATTTCAAATTCAGCTGTCGCGCACGCTTGTGCTGAGCGTGCGGTCACGTGCAAAAACGCATGGTCGCACCGGCTGGCCTGGTGCGTTCCAGCCTGGGTTACCTTTTGCAAATAGATCCAGGCATCTCTGCCCTGAGATTAGAAAAGCGAAGAAGGTAGTTGCTTCTGAGTGTCTCAGCCTTTCACAGAGAGTGAATACGGAGGGGCTTTTTGTCCATAATATGACTTTTTTAAGAGCACTGACTTTTTCCTCGTTTCACTCCATCACCTAACTTCATCATTGAGTGAAACGCCTTTATGAATGAAATGGCGAAGAATTTCTCGAGATCAACATGAAATGCGCTTAATTTAACTTCAACCCCCTTTCAGCACAAACACACTTTTCCGCTGCTGTTATACTAAGCATCAATGGCTTGAGCTTAAATTCTTGCAGTATAGTAAGCTGCGGTTATCTATACAACAAACTTCTTTATTCATGCTCCAGCGAAGCAGCTTCACTGCTCTCAGATTTAAATTACTACTCATATGATAACATCTCTTCGATCTTTTTGTCCGAACCTTAAGAACTCAAGTGAATAATCCTGATCCGGTGGAGAGGTCACACATGCTTACACACTAAAAAAAATAGTAGATGAATTTTTCAGTGGTTCGCAACCATGCAGCCACCATTGGAGAAGGACAGTAACGGAGCTTATTTCATTGATCGCGATCCAGTCAGGTATAATAATTCGTGATTTCAGAACACTTTTTAGGCCAAGCAAAAAATAATAAGTAGAGAAATGTGCAAACAAAATGCTAAAGTTTGGATTTTTTCAAGGCCATGACTGCTTTAATGCGGGAAAATAATTCCAGTTTTGGCACTATTCTGAATTACTTGCGACTGAAATCAGCGAGCCAATTATGGGAAGCATGCTTGCCGAAGGATCCGGATCGACTAGCTCTTCTAACACAGGAAGCCGAATATTACAGGTTCGTAATGAGTCAGAAAACAATACCAACCTTAGACTAAAAGCTCTAAAAAACACGCTGCTGAAATTTAGGCCTATAAGTGAAAAACACAACTTTTACTTTCTGATGAAACACAAATGATAATAAGTTAAAACTTGATATTTAAAAGAGATTCAACGTGGTGCCATAAAAATGCATGCTTTTAAAAATGAAATTAACCTTACAGCATATTGCCCACGAAGCACGTTCTGATAAAGCAAGCAAGACTACTAACTTGTAACCCTGCAAGTAATCGCGGTAAATGTAAATCTGAAGTGAAATCTTGCGATACTTGTTTTTGATGGCTGTAAGCAGGTTAAAAGGAAAAAGGCATTAATCAAAAATAATACAAAAAGAATGGAGAAACCGGATAATCTATTCTGAAGAGCGAATGTTGTGGTGAGACTGAGATGAATCCAAAGCATCGATTATGTCGCAGTCCAGGAAGAACCTAAAATACCCCAAAAAGACGAAGATCTGAAGAGGAACTGGAT